GGGTGAGTCTGCTTCATTTTTTTTTCCAGCTTTCAGGCATGCTGTTAGGTTGCAGATGTGAGCTTTCTCCATTTTCTTTATGTGGGCACTTAGTGCTGTGAATGCTCCTCTTAACACTGCATTCATAGTGTCCTATAGTTTTGGATATGCTGTGTCTTCATTTTCATTGAATTCAAGGAAGGTTTTAATTTCTTCCTTTAATTCTTCCTTGATGCAGGGGTGGTTCAGTAGTTGATTGTTCAGTTTCCATGAGTTTATAGGCTTTCTGGGAGTAGTATTATTGTTGAATTCTAACTTTACTCCATGGTGATTCGATAAGGTACAGTGGATTACTCCAATTTTTTTGTATCTATGGATGTTTGCTTAGTTACCAAGTATGCGATCAATTTTAGAGAACGTTCTATGAGGTGCTGAGAAGAAGGTATATTCTATTTTGTTTGAGTGGAATGTTCAATAGATGTCTGTTAAGTCCATTTGATTCATTACCTCCATTAATTCTCTTTTTTCTCTGTTATGTTTCTGTCTGATTGACCTGCCCATTGGTGAGAGAGGAGTGTTGAAGTCTCCTACTATTAGTTTGTGGGGTTTGATGTGCAATTTAAGTTTTAGTAATGTTTCTTTTACAAATGTGTGTGCTCTTGTATTAGGGGCATAGATATTCAGGATTGAGACTTCATCTTAATTAATTGTTCCTGTTATATAATTGTTCCTTCTCTATCTCTTCCGATTGATTTTAGTTTGAAATCAATTTTGTTAGGTATTAGGATAGCCACAACCACTTGTTTCTTAGATCCATTTGATTGGAAAACCTTTTTCCAACTCTTTACTCTGAGGTAGTGTCTGTCTTTGCGGTTGAGGTTTGTTTCTTATAAACAGCAGAAGGCTGAATCCTGTTTTTTATCCATTCTCTTTGCCTGTGTCTTTTTATAGGTGAATTGGGACCATTGATATTAAGCAATATTAATGGCCAGTTGTTTTTAATTCCAGTTATCTTTCAGTAGTAGTATTCATGTGTTTCCCTTCTTTGGGTTATGCCGGGGGGGGGGGTTATCAGATGTCTATTTTATTTTAGGTGTAGAAGTGGTGAGGGACCCTGGTCTGTGTTCTGTCAATTATATTTTAATAAATGCTGATTGGCCAGTAGCCAGGCAGGAAGTATACATGGGACAACCAGACAGGAAGTAGAGGTGAGTCAATGAGAATAGGAGAATTCTGGGAAGAGGATGCAGTCCTGACCCAACCACAGAAGAAGCAAGATATGACTGCCCTACTGAATAAGGTACTGAGCCACAAGGCTAATACAGATAGGAATAATGGGCTATATAAGTTATAAGAGTTAAAAAGAAGCCTGAGCTAATGGGCCAATCAGTTTATAACTAATATAGACTTCTTTGTTATTTCTTTGGAACTTAAAGATTGTGGGACAGAAACCCTGACAACAAATGGATTTTCCTTCTAGTACTTTCTTTTTTATATTCTTATTATTACAAATTTTCACCTCCTCCCATTTCCCTCCCCCTCCTCTCCAGACCAAAGAGCAGTCAGGGTTCCCTGCCCTGTGGGAAGTTCAAGGTCATTCCCCCTTCCTTCTAGTACTTTCTGTAAGGCTGGATTTGTGGTTATGTATTGTTTAAAACTGTTTTTGTCATTGAATATCTTGTTTTCTCCATCAATGGTGAATGAAAGCTTTTCTGGGTATAGTAGTCTGGGCTTGCATCAATGGTCTCTTAGTGTCTGCAGCACATCTATCCAGGACCTCTGGCTTTCATGATTTCCATTGAGAATTCATGTGTAATTCTAATAGGTTTACCTTTATATGTTACTTGACTTTTTTTGCAGCTCTTAATATTCTTTCTTTGTTCCGTATGTTTTGTGATTTGATTATTATACAGCAAGGGGATTTTTTTTATTGAGTCTATTTGGTATTCTGTAAGCTTCTTGTACTTTCCCAGGGTTATCTTTCTTTAGGTTGGGAAAGTTTTCTTCTATAATTTTGTTGAATATATTTTCTGACCCTTTGTGCTGAAGTGCTTCTCATTCTTCTACCCCTATTATTCTTAGGTTTGTTCTTTTCATGGTGTCCCAAATTTCCTGAATGTTTTGTGTTAAAATTTGTTGGATTTAGTGTTTTTTTTTGACCAATGGGTCTATTTCTTCAGTAATGTCTTTAGCACCTCAGATTCTTTCTTCTATCTCTTGTATTATGTTGGTTGTACTTATCTTTGTAGTTTCTGTTCATTTACCCAGATTTTTAAATTCAGAATTTTATTTCTTTTTGACTATGTTTTTTCATTGCTTGAAAATGTCATATTTGTGTATAATCTGTTTTGATCAAGTTCTCCTTCCATGTAATCCCTTCCCTATCCCTTGCCCCTTTCCCTTTCAACTTTTTGTACCCAAAAAACCCACAGAGTACAATTTGAGCATCCTGTGTGTTAATAGGTATGAGATTATCTACTGGAGCATGGGTATTCTCAGGAACCACATTGATGAAGAAAGCATTTTTTTCTTGCAGCAACCATCAGTTGCCTATAGCTCCTCAGCTAGGAGTGGAACTTCATGAGCTTCTCTTCATTCATGCTGGAAATTTGGCTGGCTTCATCTGCTGTAGGTTTTGTTCAGGCAATTGCAACTGCTTTGTGTTCATGTGTGCAACAGTCCTGTCATGTCTGACAAATAATTTCACTACCTTTGGCTCTTAGGATCTTTCTGTTCTCTGTTCCATAATGATCTTTGAGCCTTTTGGATGAGACTTTGATAAGATGTCCCATTTAGAGTGGAGAACCCCATAGTTTCTTATTTCATGTGGGTTCCTGTATTAATAATCTACTAAAAATGTCTCTGATTAGGGTTGAAAAATCCATAACCTACAAATAAAGATGTAAGGGGATACTTTTTAATATAAATTTATTTTACATCTCAACACAGTTGCCCCTCCCTTTTCTCCTCCCAATCCCCTTTCCCACCCCATTCCCTTTGTTTCTACACCCCTTCCCAATCCACTCCTCCATTTTATGCTTAGGAAAGTGCAGGAATCCCATGAGTATCAATAAAACACACATATCAAGTGGCAGTTAGACTGAACACCTCACCATGTATTAAGACTGGGCAAGGTGACCCAGTATGGACAGTAGGGTCCCAAAAGCCAGTAAAAGAGTGAAAGACAGTGTTCCCACTGTTAGGAGTTCAAAAAGACCAAGCTACTTAGTTACACAACTGTAACATATATGCCGAGTGCCTAGGTCAGTTTAATCTAGGCTCCCTGGTTGTGGGTATACTCTCTGTGTGTCCCTATGATCTCACATTACTTGACTCTGTGAGTTTTTTTGTGGTGTACTTGACCTCGCTGGTGTCTACAATTCTTTCTACCCTTATTCTGCTGTATTCCCCGAGCTCTGCCTAGTATTTGGTTGTGGGTCTGTATCTGTTTCTATAAGTTGCTGGATAAAGGCTCTCTGATATCAATTGGGTTAGGCACCAGTCTGGTTACAGAAGATGGCCGTTTCAGGCTACTTATTTGCTTTTGCCAGGAGTCTTAGCTCAGATCCTTCTTTCATCCTTGTAGATCCCTGGGAGATTCCTTGCACCAAATTTTTACCTGACCCTGTAATGCCACCCTCTTTCCAATAGTCTCTTTCAGTACTCTCTCCCTTTGTCCTCCCCACAACCTGATCACTTATGTTCCTAACCCTTTGCTCCCTCAGTCCACATAAAACATCTCTTCTCTTTTGCCTTTCCAGGGAGATCCAGGTATTCCCCTTTGATCACTCATTGTTACCTAGTCTCTCTTGGTCTCTGGATTGTAACATAGTTATCCTTTGTTTTAAAGATTCACTCTTTTGCTATTGAGAATTTAGTTCTTATCATAACACCCTTTAAAAAAATAAATGTTCTGAGATATTTACATCCCATTTTCTTGTATATATGGGCTTTCCCAACAGGGTCCCCTGTTTAGATAAATCTTGGTCTGCCATTGGGCTTTCTCTTTTGAAGACATGAGTGTTAAGTTGGGAGCATAGTTCCCAGTACTGGGCATATCTCTGGACTCCAAATCCCAGCATGCCAATTCCTGATCCCTCCCTTGGTGGGGCTCAGGACCACTCCCACAGGGTATTTAAGTGGCCTCCTAGAGGAGAAACACGTGGTTTTGGGGTCTGCATGGGCTTCCTGCTGTCTTGTCTCTCCGCCATGCACTCGGCCACCTGAGAGCGTCATTCTTAATAAAATGATGGGCATTTTGATTTGGTTTGATTTGATTTAATAGATTTTCTTGTGCTGGTGGAGCTGCTCTATTCTTATCAATGAGGATGCAGTCCAAAGCAGTTGTGGCCCCTCCATGAGACACCAGAACAATCCTCTACTTGGTACTTCTTGGGACATACAGGAAGTTAGGCTGACTTGAAGTATTACTGATGGAGATCTGGGTCACTGCTTCCAATCTCACCCTGTCCATACTATGAGTCCTATTAGACACAAATCTCATGGAAAAAGAAAAGTTCATTAAGCTTAAAATATATAATTATAGAGTTGTCAATTTTAACTCATCTTACTGTTACTTCTAGACTACCATTGCAAGTCTTCATTACAACATGAAAGAAAAAATAAAGGTGTGCCCTTTCACCTGGTCATTACTTTGCAAGGATTATGCACAATACCCAGGAAGTACTGCCAGCAGTTTTCCTGCAGTGCCCTTCCCCATTGCTCCCAAAATCTCCATTGCACTCACTGAGTTCTTTATTGAATACTTATTAATAGTTCATCAAAAGAGTAAAAAAAAAATTGGAGTAGCAGTGAAGAAAATACCATTGTACTCAACATTGGGAAACAGGGCAATTTCTGACGGCCTCATTTAGTTGCTCGGGGGAAGCACATGGCTAGATGTAAAATGCATTAATACTGTAAAGTAGCAACTTTTATGAGATAAATCTGACTATTCTCATTGATTGGGAATCACACTGATGAGGTGATGATGTGTTTTCATTCTTGTTACCACTATGCAGCCTCAGACTATACAGCTGACTCTGAAGAGGACATTGCAGTATTATGAACATCAAGTTATCGGGTGAGTAGAAATGCATTTCGACTATGGAACAAATTCAAAGTGATTTCTCAAGTGCTGCAGTTGAGCTTGCAAGTTAGTGTGCTCTTAAAGTCAGCCTTATAGTGTCTGGTTTTTAACATATAGTCTGGGACTGACTACATCTTGTAGTGATGTCCTTTGGTTTATTTGTATTTAATTTTTTAAAATGAAAACAAAATTCTTTTCCCCAAAATTCCCTTCCTAATGTTCTTATCTTCCATTTGCAATACTGAATCTCATAATTTTCCTTTATTAGAAGGGAAGGATTGCTGATACCAAATGGGAGACTTTGAATGGGCTTTTGAATCCTTTCATAGAGTTTGGCTGAAAGCACATTTTAAGACTAGGTCTTGGTTTTGCCAGGATCATATGCTGCATCTTTTTCTATGCTATTTTCTATTTCTTCAAATAGTTTTGATAATTGTGTGTGTCAAGAGTGCCTTACATCAAAAAGTAAGAAATCAAGGCTTCACCAGTACAAGGAAATTTTAATAAGTAATGTTTATATTAAAAGCAAAATCAAAGAGAGATGTCATGGTTAAGTAATATGATTTCAGTGAAAGTATTTTGTAGACAGGAACTGCAAATAAGCCTTAAGTACATTTTTGATTGGCCATTGTAGACAACAGCTTAGCAAATACCAAAAAATTAAATTTACTTTTTTGAGTAATTTACTTTTTCATGTTAAATCAATTAAAATTAGAAGCAATGGATATTGTCACTATACCATGTTAGAATTCTCTATATACTGGTAATCTTCAAAATATTATCCTTTTATATTATGGTGATCAGGAATAGATTTTGGAACATTAGGATATAATGTGATTAAAAAAAACCAGAAGTATAGAAGAATAGAAAGTGACTTCAATACCTAGCATAATACCATGATCTTTAATCATTTGATTATTATGTTGATTGTTTTCTCAGTAGGAATTGCTTTGACACTTTGACACATTAATTTTCCAAAGTGCAGTGCTAGAGAAAACATTTAAGTGTATGAGATGACTTTTAATTTGATGTCATTAGAGCTTTAAAATATTTATCCTAATGTAGCTAAAGAATGCTAAGTTAATGTTTCCTTGTACCTTCTAAAAGAAAGCTTAAGCACTGTTATTGAGTTTGTGATCTTCAAAGTATGCTATGTGTATCAACTTAGTTCTTATACTTAAAATAACTTGTTAACTGTGGTAAATGTTGTATGTCTATTACGTTATTATTATTACTATATTTTTATTGATGATACCAATCATCAAACTCAGAGATTTGTTTTTGGTATTATAAATGTTTTGGAATCAACTAATTGTTGAAATTCATTTGTGAACTGAGCTGTCTCAGGGACAAGCTGGAAGTTGGACTCTTGTATTATCATTGAAATAGATAATTAATCTCTTGTGATAGAACAGTTCCTTTTATCTACCTGCCTTAACTATCCTATCTATCTCTGTTGATATTGCCTGGGGTGCTTCTATTTTTTTTTTTTGTTAAATGACCTTTTCTTAATTCTGTTTATTTTGTCCAACACAATATAAGGGTTATGGATAATTTGACTGTAGCAAGGTGTCTTTATGTCAAACCTGATTAAAAGAGTACTATCAACATGTTTTATTGCCTATCTTCTAGTACATGGACCACTAATGCCTTTATTTGCCTTGATGGTTATGGAGACTAGAGAGCTAGTTGGGTATAGTCTCATTTTTCTTGCCTTTCTGGATTCTATCTTCTCTTCTTCCTATCTCCTTTATCATATTGCTTACTTTTTCAACTTTCTTTTTTGATTTTAAGACTTTCTTTATTTCTCTGTACAAAACCGAAAAAGGAGAAAAGTCAATATCATTAACACTGAGACTAATGTGTTCACACCTATGTGTTGTTGCTCTTCCCAAAACACAGTTTAGGACCTTTTATCTCTAACTGTGAAGTGATGTGTTTGTTACAGTCAAGGGAATTTCAGGCAAAGGAGAATAAGTACTAGCAAGCATTATTTTCCATATTTTTGGAGCGAGATGACTAAGAAGAAAATTATTTTCCCACTTTCTGAAAATTATGCTGTCTATAGTCTTGTATTGAGGCAATTTAACATTTAGATACCATATGTAGAAATACTAAAGCAAGAGAGATGACAGAGTGTATGTATGGGCTTTTTTTAAATTTCTCAATATGGACTCAGTGAATGATCTTTCTATTTTCCCTCTTCTTTCCTTAAAACTTTGCCCTTTTATCTGCTATTTTCTCCGTTTATTTACTTATTAAAGATTTCTGTCTCTTCCCCGCCACCGCCTCCCATTTCCCTCCCCTTCCCCCAATCAAGTCCCCCTCCCTCGTCAGCCCAAAGAGCAATCAGGGTTCCCTGCCCTGAGGGAAGTCCAAGAACCACCCACCTCCATCCAGGACTAGTAAAGTGAGCATCCAAACTGCCTAGGCTCCCACAAAGCCAGTATATGCAGTAGGATCAAAAACCCACTGCCATTGTTCTTGAGTTCTCAGTAGTCCTCATTGTCCGCTATGTTCAGCGAGTCCGGTTTTATCCCAGGTGTTTTCAGACCCAGGCCAGCTGGCCTTGGTGAGTTCCCGATAGAACATTCCCATTGTCTCAGTGTGTGGGTGCACCCCTCATATCAACATCTGGAGTTGTATACACCCTTCCTTGAATTCTTATACTTGTTGCCCATAGAAACTGCTGGAGTTGTTTTCTTTAGTCCCAAAACCTAGCATTAGACTCAAGGAGCATCTGTTCAAAAGATCACAAAGAAGATGGAGCTTCTTATTGTACAATAAGATAACCTCCCCGCCACAGGTGCTTCATGTTTAAATATTTATTCTATGGTCTAATTTATCCCTTCTCTTGTTCATATATTTATTCATAGAGATCATTTGTGTTGGGAAAAATGAATAGTAAAATAATTTATTCATGCTATGTGATAAATCTCTTCCTCTACTGTCACCTTCATGTGACAGTAGAGGAATTTTGATTTGGTTTGCTAGCTTCTTTTCAAAGTCTCCTAGACTTGAGTTTTTATCACAGAAACATGATTTAAAAATTACTTGAAGTCAGTGGTTCTTAAACATTACTCTGCTTTAGAATTACCTTGTAAGTATATATGTATGCACATACAAACACACACTAATAAAAGAAAATGTATAATATTGGCTTATATAATCAGAAGCTGAATAGTCTCACAGTGGTTGGTTGAACACTGGAGTAAAACCAGTAGCTGCCCAGTCTCTGAAGCTCTAAGGTACAGAAAGAGAAGACGAATAAAGTACCCAGTGTGATGATAGTGATCTGGAAGCCCTCTTGGAGATTCTGTAATGTAAGTGTGAATTTAAAAGCTAACGAATCCATGAGACTCCTAACAATGGGAGCAAGGGCTATTCTTCAGTTTGGCTGGCTTTTGGGAACCTAGTCCTCATACTGGATAGATTTGTCCAACCTTAATACAAATGGAAGTGTTTAACCCTACTGCACCTTGATATTCCATGCTTTGATAGTCATGGGAGGCCCACTTCTTTCTGAATAGAAACAAAGAAGAAGTAGAATGAGGTATAGAGGGGTTGAGGGAGGTAGTGGGAGGAGAAAAGTGGGGGGAAACTGAGGTTGTTATGTAAAATAAATAAATTAAATAGAAAGGCTGATGAATCTAGAGTCTAATGTCTGTAGGCAAAATGACAACAGCAAAATTTCATTGGATTCAGAAGAGTTGAACATATGAGTCTGCCAGCCTCCCTCTTTTCTTTTGATCCACCCCAGGTCCCCAGCAAAAATTAACCCTCATATCTACCCCCAGCTAATTTTATATCTCCGAGGAGAGATCAAGATGAGCATTTGTAACAAGCCATCAGATCATTCTAATGTTTCTGCTTCAGAGATCATAGTTTGAAATGTCTTTACAGATCTTATTATTGTCTACCTTGGTAGATTAAAATCTGAATTCTCTGTCATATGGGCTCTACTTCTATAAGTCCATTCTCTTCAACCTTTTATCTTTTCATTCCATCCTGACTTTCAGTTGGGTTCTCAGTTTTCTCAAGATTTGTCTCAGGGTTTATACCACTTTCCTGAATATTCTGTATGCAGATTTCCACATGCTACTCCTTATTTATATGCAGGTCTCTGTTAGAATGCTATCACTTCTGAAAGGTCTTTTTGGAGCAGCAAACCTAAAGAAGCCCCCTCCATCTCTAACCTCAGTCTCCAACCCAGTCATTTCTAGATACCTGTGATTTCACTGTGAGCATTACGACCTGGTATTACTTTTTAAAAACATTTATCTTGCTTACCTTTTTATTCCTTTTGTTTTGTTAGTGGTTGGCATGTTGGAGGAATTAACTTTTAGAAGATGGGTAGAGAGGTATAAATTAATAAATTATCATCTAGAAGTATGTGAATAGACTTTCAGAAATAGGAACATAAAGAACTAGTTATTGAATAGAGACAAATGGGAAGGGAATAACCTGAGGGGCTTAGATTAGCATCTTCATTCATAATAATTGTAAACATTGCAGTGTTAGTGACCAGATACACTCTTTAGCATAAATTACCTCAATTTACTTGAATAGTGTCACATTTATGATTAGTTTTCTACCTCTGTGACCTAGGTTTTTGTGAAGCATTCTGATTTTATAAATTGCACATCATCTGATTTGTATGGCAGTTTTTCTTTCTTCAACCTAACCTGAGTAAAGGTACTTTCTCTGTCTCTCTCTGTCTCTCTCTCTCTCTCTCTCTCTCTCTCTCTCTCTCTCTCTCTCTCTCTCTCTCTCTCTCTCTCTCTCTCTCTCTCTCTCTGTGTGTGTGTGTGTGTGTTTCTCTCTCTCTCTCCTCTCCTCTCTCTCTCCTCTCCCCCCCCCTCTGTGTGTGTGTGCGAGCAGTGACTAACTAAAGTTTCTAGGGAAAAGTATGTGGGCTTCTGATGTGAGCCCAAAGGGGAACGGACCATTTGGAGATGTACAATAGAAAAAAATAGTGTCTTAGTCACTGTTTTATTGCCATGAAGAGTGATCATGATCACAGCAATTCTCATAAAGAAAAAAAATAAACATTAGTTGGGGCTGGCTTACAGTTCTGAAGTTTAGTCCATTATCATGTCAAGAAGATGGTAGCATGCAGATGGACATGGTGCTGCAGAAGCTAAGAGATACATGTGTATTAGCAAGTAGCAGAAAGAGATTGTGTCCCACTTGGCCTTGCTTGAGCTTCTGAAACCCCAAAGCTCAATCTCTAGAGACACATATCCTCCCACAAGGCCACATCTCCGAATAGTACCATTTCCTAACAGCCTATGAGGGCCATTTTGTTGAAACAACCACAGATAGTGAGAAACAGTTCAGTAGAAGATATACAGGGTTCAATTAAGTAAGTAAAGGAAACTGAGGGTTGAGAGAAACCTGGCTAATATGAAGTTCCTTTCCTAATGGTTCATGCCATGGTTGTGTGCCTTTTTTTCTATTATTTTCTTTGTTGTGGAGCTATGTGCTTCAGATTTGGACCAGTAAGACTTATTGGGTATCAAGCCACATTCTATTACCAACTAATTATGGGCAGATTTTTTTGAAATCTCTGAGCCTCAGTTTCCTCATTTTAAAAATGAGTGTCAACAGAGCTGGAGTGAAGTATACCATTGGAAGAAGCATGCTGATCTCTTTAGCCAGCCTTTTACAAAGTGGAACACATGGCTGTCACCATCCCCAATTCTGTTGTCATTTAGAGGTCACTAGGAAAGTGGCAGCTTAACTCTGCTCATAAAGACATTGAGTCATGTATTTTCACAGGTATTTTTATGAGAGACCACTGTTGTATATTGCAAGAAGGTACTCTGATAAACCAACTTACTTGGATAAGTTCTCTGCATTAGAAAATGGTATGTCAAATTTTGCCAGACTCTAATTGCTCTATTTAATCTTTTATATGCCACACTGCTATCTGGTCACTATGGCAGAAGTTATGGTGTATTTATTTCTAATGCTAAAATGCCAGTCTACCAAGCTAGTTCTATTAATATTCTTTTTTTCCAGTCACTTGTCTTATAGAAAGAGCAGTCATGCAAGCCTCAGGTAGGAATATATTAGTTACACAAAACTAATATATATTGTGGTTCTCACCATCAATTTCATTTTTCTATGAGAATCTATCTTTGTACTTAAAATAAAATATTTAATTCATTTTTAGAGAATTTCACATATATACATAAGGTATTTTATCATATTCATCCCTCCACTATTTCCTCTCATTCCTTCAGATCTATCTCCACTTCTTCCCAACTTCCTGTCAGTTTTAATTTACTGATTTTAATTTGTACAGCCCACTTGCTCATGGGCATAGGGTCATCTACTGGAGCATGGTCAACCTACTAGATGTAATTAATACCTTTAAAAAAAACTGACCATATTTCTTGGCTAGGAGTGGGGGCTTTTGAGCTTCCTCACCATCCATGCTGAAATGTTCCGATCCTGTCCTTCTCAATCCCTGGTTCTTACTATTTTTCTTCCCCCTCTTCTGCAATAATTCTTTATGTCTTTGGGTGTGGGTGATCTAGATGTCCCATTTGTGGCTGAGAATTCAAATAATAATTATTCTCTGTATTTTGACCAGTTGTGAGTTTCCATTGATCAAAGAAACTTCTCTAATGTGGTTTGGAAGTTTCACTATCTTTGGGTGCACAAATGCAATCTTAGAGGTCAGTTTGATACTTCCTCCATTTAACAAATTAATAGTAGTAAATTCAAGCCTGGGGTCTGTGATTTCCCACACGCTGAGTTCCTAGCCTGATTTATAGTACCAGCTATGCTTTTCCTCTCAAGGAGCACGTTTTAAACCCAAGAACAAAGCAGTTGGCTATTCTATAGCATTTATGCCACTACTGCACATATGGACACATCTTGCTATACTGATTGTCACTGTAGCCCACAGGGTTCATAAATAAGTAGATCATAGAGTTCACAACTGGGTAAAATTGTTAATGGATTTTCCTTCCAGCAGACTGCATGGCACTATAAAAGCCAATCAAAAGATAGGAAGCTTCCTGATCAGTACAAACCTGATTTTACCATGTCTAATGAACAATGTATATGGTGTATTCAGCAATAGGGTCTTAATATGAGTTTATAGTTGGTTACTAGATAACAATGGAAATAACCTGTATTCTTTAGGTGATCTCCAGAACACCTCTTACATAAACCTTTTTTGTAAAAGCATTGGGTTTTTATCAGGAAGAACATTATCTCCTACAGAGAGCAACTTCAGATAATTTTTATATGAAAATATACATATTTTAAAATCTTATAAAATAGTAGTTTTCCATATATTGTTTTCAGATATCCTTAGGTTAGTTATACCTTCCCCAACTCCCACTTATGCCCCAATTCCACTACTCCATTAACACTTCATATCACTGTTTTAATCTTACTCTATCCCCAAGCTGTTAGAAATCTTACAAACTAGTAGATGTGCATTTATTTGGCCTTTTCAACATCCCCAAATATTTCTCTCCCTACCCTGTTCTCCACCCCTACACCTTTCCCTCCACTTATAGCTCTCTCCCCATTATTTTCCTTTTCTTCTTCATATTATATGGATTTTACTACTGCCTCAAGAACTTTCTAATTAATCTGCTTGCAGATATAGTCCTATATTGTTAATGTAAAGGGAATAGTGAGTTATACATATCAGAATTATGCTTAAGGAATAAGTTATTTTAAAAGTGGTTATCCTAAAAGCATAGACTGTATGTACTTGGTGTAGATATGAGTGCATTTGCAAAAGCTTTTAACATTTCTTTATATGCTAATTTTATTTTTTTCTTAGTTATAGGGATGCAGAAAAGAACTTCCACAATATCTCTAACAGATGCTCCCATGCAGACCATTTCAACAAAGAGGAACTTGAAGATGTCTCAGAAATTCTCCAGTGTACTGCTAATGTACTCGGTATATTAATTATACATTTATATAATTGACAGATTATAAGTGGAAGGGGAAGCAAAGGTATTAGTGTTTCATTTTCATTTAGAGAATGTAGTAGAGAATTGGAGACCAAGAACTTGTATTTAAGTATCTAGTTTTACACCCATGAAGATATTTGAATGATAATTACAAACATGTCACTTACTTATAAATTCTAAAATATTATATCAAATTCTTACATTCTGGGGAAATGTTTTCAAATATTTCTACTATGTTGGTATTAGTTTGACATAATCCATATTTATCTGCATCTTACCTTCACCCGAATTTTAAGATCTTTCCTTCTTCTCAAGCTTATATTTTCTTATTTCTGCTATGCCCTTGTTACACCAAATCAGTGAAGCATGTCCTCTAAAGGGTTCTGTGTTTGGGCTTAAGCCTAGGGACTGTGCACCTTGAAGACACAAGTATTTACCTTTAGGATTTTGGATACTCCCAACGTGGGTAAATGTACTGTTTTACATGGAAATACCTAGAAATCTACAAAGGTATGGGTCTACAAGAGCACTCTATGACTGATGGATGTCACAGTAGCAATGGGTTTAACCCTAATTTTTTTTACAGAAGTTATTTAATTTTATCTTCTAATTCTATTTTGCTTACTGTTTTTGAAGTGAATTTATTTCAGTTCTTTTTGGGATCCTCATTTTTTTTTTTTATGTCTCAGAAAAAAAATAGATGGTACATTAGGAGGCCAGCAATGCCTTCACCATATGTTGATTTCATCACTTCCTACACTGAAGACTTGAAAATAGTTGCTTACCAAATTCTGGTTCTTGACCCTCTAGGAATGGGAAAAATATTTGCACATAACATTTTTTTTTTCTCATTAGTAACCGCTTGTGTCTACTTTCTATCATACGGTTTGCAAAGTAGCAATACTGACTACACCATGCTTCTTGGTTTCTGTTCATCTCATGTTGGGCCCTGTGACAGCACAGCAAAGTCCCCTCAAGGGACCCTTATTGAGGAGAAGATAGGTGTGAATTGTGCCTTCCTTATTTGTCTTTGAGTGTTAAATTACTGAATTATTTGGATCATAATGTCTGTTGCATGCTGATACAGTCTAATTTTAGTTTTCTGAAAAAGATCTACTCTTTAAAGCAATGGTATGCAAAGCCAACTTTCAGTTTGCATTAATGGTAAAAATATATGTGTAGTCCTATAAAAGAGGACATTTTTGATGTTTGTTGGAAAATTTACTTATTGGTTTAATAGTGTAGTGAAATGTTTATCATAAGGGCCTATACTGTGTGTTGTTTTAAACATGCCACTTGTTACAATAGCTTGGATTTAACTAGTGCTCTAAGGTGGTAGACAGAATGAGTGCAGAAAATTAAGGGAGAGAGATGACAAGCAGTGTTGTCCTCTTTGTTATAAGGAGTTAAATATCAGTATAGTTAGGACATTTTAATCTTTTAATCAGTTTTGATGCTATTAAAGGATGTGTTGGTATTTCAATTGCAAAAATATAATTGTGATAGGATCTGAGAGGTGATTTCTGAAAGGATATCCACAGTGAGTCAAGAAGCAGACAAATATTAGTGTTGTACATCAACTCATTTGCTGATGAATTATAGCAATATAAAGTTTGCTACTTCAGTAAGTATCAATTATTGGCTAAACAGCATACAAAACAGCTTCAGACTGTCCTTGTTAATAATCTTCTCTCACAATAATTAGGAAGTGCAGGATAGGACATTCATCAACATTTTCTATGTTTTAAAGGTCTCTGTCAGAGAGGCATACTTCTTCCAAATGTTTAACACATTTAAAATCAGACTGAGAGTCTTGTCCAGGGATTGTTTTACTTGGGAATTACCAGTGAGGAGGATGGAGGAAATTATCTCAGGACTTATTTTTTTCAATATTTTCTTGTTATCAGAAATTCTTAAATACTGTATAATCAGAGTCTTTTGGGAATGGTTACAGACTCCAGTATCTTTATTTGGTATGATGCTTTTATGTTGCTGACTTTAAAAAATAATCAATTATTTTTTATGTTAACCTGTATGTACAATTATATATATATATATATACATATATATGTATATATAATATATATGTGGAACTGTTATAAAGTAAAAACAGTAATAAATTAGTCTTTTATTATAACTCTTTTCTTGGAATAACTGCTGTAATATTAATAGGTGAAATTATTTAGTGGACTAGAATGTATTTCACATATTTAGCATCTTGGTAAAATAACTATTCACCATTTTCACTGGTGAAATAAAATTTACAGCAACAAATAAATTCTATCCATGTAGTTTTTGTCACTCTAACTTAATAAATTCTTATATTTTCTTTCTTAAAAGTATTTTGAGTATTAATGAGATGAGTTGGAATTAAAATAGTTGGAAGGATGTGATGGGTTGAATGAGAGTAGCTCCCACAGGCTCACAGATTTGAATGCTTGATCACCAGGGAGTGGCACTATTTAAAATGATTAGGAGGTGTGGCCTTTTTAGAGGAAGTATGTATCTAGGCATGGACTTTGACATTTCAAAGGCCCAGGCCAAGCCCCTGATTCTGTCTCCTAGCCAGTAGATTAGAATGTTGCTCTCTGATACTTCTCCAGAACCATTTCTGCTTATGTGCTCACATGCTTCTAGCCATGATGATAATGGATTAGCCCTCTGAAATTGTAATCAAGCTCTGATTAAATTCTTTCTTTATAGGAGTTGCCATGGTCGTGGCATCTCTTCGCAGCAATAGAAAAATGACCAAGACAAGAAATGATTGACTCATATAGTGTTATTGTAATGCATTTCAATGTAAAAATTTTGAAGCAAGGACTAGCTAGGGCTAGGATAGATGAGGAAGAACTTAACAACTAGCTATCTGACTGGAGTAACTTATTCCATGTATCCATGCATTAGATCTCTCATTAATAAATTGGACAAAATGTAATTATACATTTCCTTTCTTAAAGATGCTAGGAAGGTTAAAATAGGTTAATTTATATAAAATGCTTAACAATAACCTGATATGTAACATCCCATTGCTGCATTGATGTTTATTGTTATTCTTATTGAATAGTAAAATGATCTTTTCAGTAGATCTGGGAAGTCAGTTTTGTTCATTTTGTTAATAGGTAAGGAAACTCATTTTTGTTCACTTGTTAATCTTTGGTCTATCTCTGAGCAAACAAGCTACAAGGGCATTGTTTAAATCTGGGTCATTCTGATTCCAGATACCATATTCGTTATATTGCTTTTTTTCCCTCATTTATTGTACTGAAAGTTTCATGTAATCCCTCCAATGCTGATTAAGCTAATTTCTATCACCTCTCTAGTTGTGTGAGTGACCAAAGTTGTTACTATGTGTCATTTTACTTAATCCATCATTTTGTTGTTGTTTTGCAACACTTTGGATTGAACTAAAAGCATCATGCATCACAGACAAGAACTTAACCACTGAGCTATATCCTCAGCCCTAATTTAACTTTTATTTAATTCAATAGTTGCCCAAGTAGGCCTTGAAGTTATTGTGTAGCTAAACCAGGCTTTGAATATTGTGATCTTCCTATATTAAACATCACAAGTAGCTATGAAAATAGGTTTGACTCATGGTCCAGCTTTGCTGCTCGTTCAAATTGAACTTGAGATACTTGCTTGTATGTAGCAAGTGGTATCAAAGCTGTCTAAAATATTTGTCATTAGTACTGAAGATTTTTCAGAGTTAGTATGGTTTGGATTATTTCCAGTCTAGAAACAATGTGAGTTTTCTTTAGCTTTAAGGTGCTAGAGATGCAAATTTAGGGTGGTAGTGTGTGCCTTCATGAAACAAATGTGATTTCACACTTATGATATGGTAAGCACAGTACTAAAACTTCTGGCCTGAAGTTTTCAAGTAGATCTTATTGTGTTAAACATGGATCAGTATGTTAAATGTTATTGGATTTTTAAAAAAAAATTACAAAAGACTATTCTTTTTTTTCAAAAGGAATATTTTTATTAATTCTAGGGCAAATTGACACATGTAAAGAATGTATCTTGATCACATCCACCCTCAACTTCCCCTTCCCATTCCTCCCAAACATCACCAACACATTTTCCTCCTCACTTCATTAGCTTTATTTTTTTCTTGATTGTAATCCATTGAGTCCATAAAGTACTGACTCTTGGACTTTTGACTGATATTATTGGTTCTATCTTGTCTAGGTAAACATAGCTAATGTGGCTTCATAACTGAAATGACCGTTTCATGTCTGGATAATGGCATTTCACAGAACTCTTCATCTCTGAGCTTTGTATTCTTTTTGTATCTTTTCTGTGATGTTCCTTCAGCCTTAAGTAGGAGTGTTTAATATAGATATCCCACTTGATTATTCTGGTCAGTTATGATTGCCTGAATTAACTGCTGACCACTTCAAAGTTAAGCTTTGGCCAAGGTTGAGGCAACATTAATTTATGTGTTTAACTGTGAATATGTGGAAGTCAGTTTAACAACATCTATCAAAGTAAGAGTAGTATGTTCTTCTCTAGGCCCTATGACTTCCTGAGATATAGACTTTTTTTTTTTTACCAGGTTTATAATATCAGGCATGAATTCCTTCCTGTGTTGAAGGTCACAAATTCAATTAAAAACCAATTAGCATTACAGCACCTATAAGCACATCTTGGTGATAGAGTTCAATGTCAGGTAGTACTGTTCTTGTCTTCAAGCCTGTATAGAATCTTCCAGTACTATGAAAGCAAGCAAACAGCAAACAGGAATAAAGTTTTCAGTTTTATTCCAGCTTGATTTTTTCTGTGTCGTATAATCACACACACACACACACACACACACACACACCACACAAATATATATATGTATATATACACATACACGTGGAAGTGAGTTGAATATATATATATATATACATTCACGTGGAAGTGAGATATATATATATATATAGTCAACATTAGGATCTTACTATATGATTATAGTGGGCAATCAAGAGCAGTAACAATGAGCTG